TTATCAAATGCGTGAACAGCGAGCCTGATAACTACAGCGTGCCTCTGTGTAATGTTTAATAAATCCTGACATACTCCTCCAGTTGTGGATTATAAAAAATAACCTTTCAAACAGGGAAATCTTCAATCACCATCAAATTTTAAGGAACATGTACATCACTTTCCAACTTCAAAACTACGTGCACAATGAAGTTTGAAAGTTTTCAATTGCGGGCAGAACTGCAATTACAGGTTGTACTTTGGGAACATTTTTGTCCCATTAATCTTGTACTCTTTGAGGAATACTATGCAATCTGAGACCTAAACCTCTACCTTCTTTTCCTTGATTCCCTTTTTGATGAGAAAAAATACTTGATCCCTTTCAAGCCTGAAATCAGGGGCAAAAATAAATGAAATTCCAATAGATTTCCTTGTAACAATCACTATCAGTTCTTCTGAGAGAGTTACTTTATCAATAAGAATATCATGAAATGCTGTTAATAGTACAAAAGGTGATAGGTAATTAACAGTAGAGGTAAGACAAAATTATAAAGATTTTCATTGACCACACATGAAACATCACAAATCACTCTGACTCACTTGGAATAATACAATCTGCAGAAGGAAGGTTTTCCATCCCTTCCAGCTCTACCTGACTCTTGGTAGTACCCCTCCATTGACTGTGGCAATGTCCAGTGCACAACAAATCTGGAATAGTGACAAAAAGACAACAAGTTGATGAGCTGTAACTGAAAATAGGAAGGTGTCTCTTAGTAGAGAAGAAAAAATTACAAACAATAAAACAATTTGCAACGAGAAAAGGCAATGCCCCTGGTGCATGGTAATAAAAAAATGATCAAGGCATGTCATCTTAATGTATTCATGTAAGGTAAGACAAAATTGTTGCTAAACATGTTTACAAAATTATGCATTTTCTGTAGTTATGTTTACCACTAAAATATGAAAACCTTATAACCACTGTCTCACTGTCCAAATTTCAAGTAACCTTCAATGGTACCTTCTCCCCTTTCCTACAAGCTTCCAGTCAGAATATCATCTCTAGACATTTAAGAAAACAAAATTTAAAAAAACCTGTGATTGCCACTTAGAATTAAGGCTAATAGCGTATATAACCAATACACTTGTCTAGAAAAAGATTATTTACCTCACAGAGGATTTGTCAACTCCCATACCAAAACTTATAGTAGCCACAATAACTGAAACTTTTCCATCCATCCACTCCTGCTGGACCTCATCTCGTTTAGCTGGTTTCAAACCTGTGTCAAACACTTGCATTACAATCTGTGCCAGTGCCAAAGATCATGCTTTATAGAAACATACTCAGGAAATTTTAGAAATAAAAAAGAATCTGATGTGAAGTGAAAGATGGGGAAACAAACTCATGCAATGCTACATTGATTGCACCCATCAAGGGCTCTGTTAATCAAAGGGTGGAGAATGACATTATCCAACAAATAAATGACCATCCAACAGATGAGCTAGTGTTAACAAAACACACTGCCCTATCCACCTACCAAAGATTTATTCATATACTTATACTGGTAAACTATCAGTGAAACCTAATGAAATTCTAAGGGTAACATTCTTAACCAAGCATCCAATCCAAGGAGAGAAACAATAGTCCAAGTCACCTCACTTGCTATGGAAAATGAGATAAACTCCAGCCATGCAAGCCACTCAGCCTGTGTGCAAGAGTTTTAGGCCTCCAACCCAATAACAGCGACATAGAATTAAAGTATTTCTGGCATTAAGGATGACAGGTTAGGGAAAATTACATGTGTGTGCTCATTTAGGGTGTTTGGCATGTACCTCAGAATCAATAAAAATTTACTAATACTGTATTTTACACTTAAAACAAACTGGTACAGCCATACCTGCATGATAAGCTTTTGCAGAGAGTCCCTTTCTACTCAGCCTTGAAGCCACTTCTTGACAGGCATCACGAGTACGACAGTAAATAATACCACTACCCTAAAGGATAAAGTCAATAAATGGAAGAGGAGATTAGATATCAGATTTGACAAGCTCCTAGAGAAGAGAGGCAGGGCTTACTTATTTCCAAGGCCACAGATGGACAGCTTAATAGGGTGGAGGATGGCTAATCAAAATTCTCTGGGAGCCTAAATGGGAGTCATTAACTATTTTCAAAATTGCCACCCATATTGAACCATACACACTACACATTTCAGTCTTTTGTTGAAAAAACAGAGTGTGTAAATCAAAAACCTATACAGGCTTTCAAATACAAAATACAATTTGTACCGTGATGTCACTAAATACCCAAATAAATAGCAATAAGACTATAACTTTTTTTTTCATTTTTTTGTGGGAAATTAAAGGGAGGAGGAGGTGGCAGGAGTAGAATTACTATAGAGAGAGGCCTACTGGAGAGTGGAGGATTAAAAGAAAGAGTACATTCAGTCTGAAAAGTTTCACCACATTAGTTTGAAGGAGAAGTGTGTAATAACATTACTTGTAAATCACCTTTAACCCATCTCCACTGTTGTCCTGTTCTGATAATGCTGACTCAACAAAACCCTTTAGGTCAGCATATGGATCATCAAGAAGTTCTTTGAAACTTTAAATGCAAAAAAAAAACTTATTACAAGAGAACAGCCATTGCACAGTTAATATCCTCAAGCACAAATGTTTCAGAAATAATTCAGTCAGTAAGAGATTTGATATGGAAACTTTCTTTTAGCTAAAAGGAAACGTTGTAACTTTTTAAATTTACAAGGATCAGAGCTCTTAAATTCCAACGGTTGGTTCTACATACCAAACATCATAAAACAAATTTGGTCGAAAACAAGAAGTCTTGAAAATTGCTGTGGGTTTGTGGAGCTGGAGAGAGGAGAGCACATCTTCTTGAACATGAGGTGTAGCAGTTGCTGTGAGGGCAATCCAATGTACATCACTAAACTGTCCTCGCAATGAACCAAGCTTCAGGTAATCAGGCCTGAAATCATGTCCCCACTGTGACACACAATGTGCTTCATCCACAACAAAGTATGACAAAAGCTTCCTCTTGTGCAGAGAGCTTAACACTTTCTGAAATCCAGGTGTTGCTGCAAGTTCGGGAGTGATGTACAAAAGCTTGATCAAAGGCTTCAGTTTATAAATTTCTGAATACACCTTCTTTCTCTCAGTAGCTGAAAGTTTTGAGTTAAGTGTTTCAGCTTTGATAGAGAGTGATTTTAAGTGTGATACTTGATCCTGAATCAGGGCAATCAGAGGAGAAAAGACAACTGTTATTCCCTCAGCCACAACTGCTGGAAGTTGATAGCAAAGTGACTTTCCTGATCCGGTAGGCATGGACACAAAAACATCTTGTTTTCCTGTTTGAAAAAAGATATTTTTTACAATGAAGTCCAAAAATGGAAATTTCCAATTTAATTCTACATGAACAACTTCCACTTGAATGTATCTATTTGGCCAAAAATAACCATTTGAAAAAAAATTATCAAAATACATGATCTCTTCCTTTGATTCTTTGTAGAATATTGCAGTCATTATTATTTAGAGCCAGCGTGAGATTTTTTGTACTTGTGTAGAGGCTAAAAAATAAATTTCTCAATAAATTTCTCTTGTTACAAAAATTCTGCATGCTATTGCATATAAAGAAAATTGTCCTGGTAACCTCTGTCCTTGTAATTTAATCCTTAATGTGTTCTAACAGTAGAGCATGCCAGTGATTTCAAGTTGCCATTGGTCTTTGTTTGCATTTGATTGGTTGAGAGGGTTGGGGAAGTTTTCCAGACCAATTATAGGGCCTTGTAATTTAAACCTAACCCAATCCTTGATTACTCTGGAATCATAACTGAAATAAAACATTTGTTTGCACAGGTTTATACACTATATGTTGCAGAATTATCTGGCCCCTGTCTTAAGAATGACATAATAATATAATTTAGTATATACCACACAATTGAATAATCTACTTTCTAGTTCAGAAGCGAATAGCAAGTATTATCAACTTCTGAACAGCTAATGAGACAAAGTCATGTGTAAAGAGTTTAATTTCCTACCATTTCCTTGTGTATTGAAAGAAATAAGGTAATTTTTTGGTATCTGTGTGATCTATACTAAAACAATAATGTGAACATCAGTGTGAGTGGTGGATATTTAATTCACCACGTCACCTCTCGGTACTAATCCACCACTATTCACCTCCTCTTTGGCGAATGATTGTTAAATATAGCATTACATAAATCCCAATGCTTCATAAATTTAAACGAATTAACATGCACAGATACTGACAGACAGAAAACTACATATTTTACATCTCCAAGTATAAGATATAATGACAAATGATCAGATTTCTATGGGTGTAATCATGCAAAAATTAATCTCCGAAATGAATGAGTCTCCAGCGAGAATTTGAAACCTGTCTTCTACACAAACTTTCTAAAATTTTTAAATGCCACTCAGTTAATTAATGCATACTCCTGCTGTTACAGAAGCTGCCAGATGACAACAAATCTGTCATTTGGAATTAAGTATGATACAGACCTGATTACTTCGGAGTCTTGCTAATTTAAGAATGTTTTAAATTTATCTTCAATAAATAATATCACGGGCTTTTTAAAATTAATATCATGGGATAGACTTGGCTATAAAAGTGGCTTGCCTTCACAAAGACATTCTATCGCTTCTTTTTGGAGTTTTGATTTGAAATCACTATGCTTAAAAACAGTCTTCAAACATTTCGTCAGAGCTTGAGTTTCCATACTGTCCCAGCAACAAGTTCCACATACTAGAGTTTCATGATATAATCACAGTCGAGCCATTACACGTTCAACCATGTTTTTAAATCTTCGTTTGACTTTCGGTTTCCGATTAATTTACGAAGAGGAACCCAAGCGATGACGAAGAAGTGACACAATACAAGGCCCCACGCTCTTGACCTGAGTTTACAAGGCGCGGCCAAAATAGCATGCGTTGGTATGGTTTGTAACTTATTGTGAGTGTTTCAGCTGCGTATGTGCTAAAAGTAGATGATGATGTAAGCATATTTTACACGAATCTGATAAGATTGTTCTATCAAGCTACTATATAGAACAGATTCCACAGCGTAGATTGATAAATCTCTCCCAGTACCGCTGTTTATTTGCTCCTGTTCTAAAGTCAGGTTCTTAAGATATCGTGAGATGGATCCTACATCTTTTGGAATGGTGAAAGGAGAGGTTCAACGCCTTCCTTTCAAAGACGATAAAGTGAAAGCAATTGCTTATGCTCAAGGATATTTCTACGCAGAGCAAGTCGGAGAACTGATGAGAGAGTTCGGTTTTGACGATGATCGCCTTAAAGGACTGCAAGCATGTGTTGGGAAAATGTTGCCAGCGACGTGTGCCAGCGTAACATCGATTCTGAGGGCTTTTTCCTTCGACAAAAACAAGATTCAGGCGCTCGAGCTGGTCGTTGTACAAGTCACCGATCCACTGAACTTTCTTGTTTTTAACGACGTATTTTCCTTCATGAAAGATCGGCAGCGAGTCAGCGTTATTATGCAAAGGAGGGCAAGTATGCCTCCTCCACAACCGCCTGCCTTTGTGAACCCCGCTGTAGCAGGCAATCCTTATCCATACGGTAGACCTAAGCCGAGTGTGGATCCCAACGACCCACTTTACAGAGCTGTTGACGGTGCAGTAAGTGGTGTTGCATCTGTAGTTGACAGTGCTTGTGGTGCCTTGTTTGGTCGGCCTTCACGCCCTGGTGCTGTTGTTGTACAGCGGCCAGTTGCATACCAAACAACAGCCACTACCTATGTCACACCTCCAGGGCCAGGGGTGCAGATTTTGAGTGTCCCACCAGGTGCGACAGTGACAACCATTCCACAAGCAGCACCAGGGTACCAGCATTACCCACATGGTTCTTACCCCATGGGACAGGCACCACCTCCATATCATCCTGGAGGATATCCAACCCAACAATGGAAGTGAAGACAGTTGTGACTTTGTTGGAGAAAAATTGCTCTGATTTTTCTTTAAAGTAAAGATGTATTCTTTGAAGAAAAATTTCATATTTCTCTTGAAAACAACAAGTACTAATGGACTGGTTGGCTAATTTTCTATGTACAAAACCTTTTTATGTTATTCACACTTGATAGAATCAAAGAAACATTTTGCCCTTCCTAGTTAGAAAAGCAGTAAGTTATTTCCTGTTCCATCTTTGCACTATAAGAATGATATATAACTTGATTAGGCACTATATTGCTTTTACTTGACTTCTATTAAATAGCTCAGCAGACTCCAGCTTATTCTACAGTGACACTGTAGTCTATAGACTAATGATATATTGTGGTATAGGTTATACAGTACAGCTGTAAAATTATACTTACTTGGAATTTGGAGTATAGGGACTATAAAGATTACCATTTTTAATTATGGTAGAGTTCCACACAATGATAGATTGTACTATAAAGCTAGAACCACAACAGGGTCTCTGGTCATTGTTGTTTCTAAGAGACATCATCAATTTAAGTTTAAAAATTTAGATTACTTAAAGGTTTTTGTTGTCTTAGTTTATTCTTTTGTAGGTGGGGGTATGTTTGTTTCCTAATCAGTATTTCTTTTTAACATCTCTATGGAATGTTATTAGGATATTTGCAGTTTATGGCAACCTTTTTTTTCTAGAATCACAAATCAAATATATGTATAACAAAAGGATTCTTGTCTTGTCTTTTGAAGAGTATAGGTACATAAAGAGGCAAATAAGTGAAACAATTTCAAGAGCAAGAATCTTCTCTATCATTTGACGCATACCCTAAACTTTAAGCAAATGATTCCCTTCAAATAATTCCAAAACCCACTCTTCAGTAATTGGAAGATAAAATAATAACTGAACTCTGTTGCTGAAAAATATTTTGAGTTCATTAACAAATATTCTTGTTCCTCAATGGTATCCTAAGAGTATCAATTATCTGTTTGGGTTACAAAGATTTTGCTTTGTCCCACTTTGATGTTTTCATGTAGCCTGAGGCACAAAATTCAACAAGTACATGCACATCAAAATTGGAGTTCACGTAAAAACCTGCCAAGATTGTTCTATTGGCTTGAGGAGGAAGCTGTGAGCAAACACATAAATTTGCCATCCCTACCTTAGACTTCATGTTGTTGCTTTCATCCAACTCTCATACAATGCAAAATAATTACTTGTCTATAGTTTTGGAGGGTCAAAGAAAAAAGAAGAGCAATAAAGGTGTAAGCAGGAAGGCCACCATGTAAAGTAATCTTGAATTACCATCAAATTGGTGCCCTTAGTTAAAAATCAATGAAGGTGGTGGGTTATAGAGAACAAACTTAAATTCCTTTTATCTGTTTTTGTGAGTCATTTACATATTAACTAAACATATCATTTCCTTTCTGCAAAACAAAATGGTGGGGTTGGTTTAAGTTTGAAAAACATCACACTTGTGAACAAGTTGAACAAATCACTGGAAAAATTAAATAATTCAAGAATCAGTGAAACTGACTTTCCTGTACAGGTGGACTGGATTGTCTGCAATTAACAATGCTAGTTAAATTGAGAAGGATAGGACATCAATACTGTGCAAAACCCTACTTCAGTGTACAACAAACAATAAAAATTTTTATGGAGAAATTGCCTCAAAAATATGTGGTCATGTGAGACATTAATGTTCCCAAACTGAATGTAACATAGGATAGCAGGCATAAAACTACCGTTGATCATACTATGTAGTTTTATTGTAATAGCATCAAATACAAAGTACAGGATCAGCTGGAGGTGATGGCTTACCTGGAAACAATATTAACTAAAGAGGTACATGTATAAGTTTACATTGACATTAAGGCCTCTCCTATTTAATGGTAACCTTTACGGAAAGACAGGGATATCAGTTCTCAAATTCTCTAAGAAGAGAAAATGAAATAGAGCTGAATCTTCAGAGAAAGTACTAACTTCAGGATCTGTTTAGGTGTATATTATTATTTTTCCTTTTAATTTCCTACTCGCAAATACCTCACAATGTTCAAATCATAGCTAACAACAATCAAATACCTTCATTATATCATTATGGCATATTTCTTGCCAGTATTTTCATCCACAAAATTTTCAAATGAAGCAACATTTTGCCAAACTGAAAACCCATTCTTCTGTAACTTGCAGGATAAATCATACAGTTTCATAGCTAATACATTGTCCACATGAAAAGACAAACACTCATTCACTCAATTACATATTCCCACATCTTGGAACATAATACAATATTTATCATTATTCTTTGCAAAGTTCTTGCCAAATTTTATCATCAGAGCTTATGTCCTCAGATTCTGGTGCAGTTCAGGTTTGATGTCATATACAAGAGTTAAAAGCCTCTGAATAACCTCCTCCTTGTTTTTCTTCACACTTTCACTGATTTGGTCAAGTCTCACATTTGTCTGTTCCTCGATTTTAGCTTGAAAATCATCTTTGGACCCCATGTGCTGTTGAAAAAATTGCATCAAATGTGTTGAATTTCATAAGTAACACAAAGCCTTCAAATAGCTAATCCACAAAGATGGAAATTCATGTTCAGTTGTTTGGAATTCTTTGTATAAAAAAAAGCATTGATATTTTGCACTTATTTAGATATTCAATCACTGTATTCAAGGTTAAGTTAAAAAATGTAAAGACAGGAAATTAGTGAAAAGCATCAGGAAAATATATTACATAACCACTCCATGTCTCAATAAGAACAGCTTGGTCCATTAACCCTCTCACTCCCAACATTCCAAATCTGCACTCTCAATCCCCATAGTAACAATTATTGCTTTTCATTTGATTAAGTTAGTCTTGTTTTTTAGTCACCATATTCCCACTAATAGCAAAGCTCCATTTTCTGCATATAAACACTCGCACACAACCCACAATTTCTCCATTCACTCTGAAGAAGGGCTAATGCTCAAAATGTCAGCTATGAAACTCTTGACAGTGGCAATTTATGTTATCAACTCAGTTGTTAACACTAAATTACCTTGTTATACTCTCCCACCAACACAACACCACAGTTTCTTTAGAAACTTACCCCCTTTATTCATTTGTCTTATAATATTAGTTTGCAGAATTCAGTATTACACCAGCTAATAATCCCTAACTGATATTTTTCTTTATTCTTATCAATTGTTTGCATGATATTGTGTAGATATTGTAAGGAGAAAGTCTGTTTTGGTCACTAAGGGTAAATTAAAGATTAAAATGTAGCCAGATAATTTTTTCTCATGGAATTGGGAAATCGGTTATCTCCAGTTCTTAGTGAACCATTGCCATTCATGTTAGTTTCCCTCCACTCTCTCAAATGAACATGAAAAGTTTTAAAAAAATAAAACAATTGATAGTACTTGCATGCACTATGAAAAACTCAAAACCTGCATTTTGGCTATTTTCTAACATGGAACTTTGTTTTAAGAAATATCACAAATTAGATCTTAACTATAGCACATTGCTAATTGTATCTGTATTTTGTGTAAGTGTTACAGCTTGCACAAAAGAAAAATAAACACATTGAAGTACCTCTTGTTGATAATTCAGAAACTGTTTTTCACGTTCTCCGCGGTAAGTCCTGATTTCAGCCTGTGCTTCTTCTTTAGCCTCTTTCAACTTTCTAGTCTTACCTGACAGGAAATAAATATAATATTTTGCAGTGGGACAGATTTAATGAAATAGGTTCAAAAATGCTCAAGCTTAGCTAAATTTTGGAAGATGGGAGACCCTAATCAAGAGGTTGCTAAAGTTTCAATTTCTTTGTTTCCTAAATTGATTCAAAGTTTTCACCCAAACACTTCATGACATAGGTTTACTCCCATTTCAAGGATTTCATTATTCTCAACATTTCTTATTGTGGGAAACACTGATGTCTTAAGAAAATTTCTAGAATCCTAAATAAATTGAAAAATATACAAAACATGAAACCATAAGAGGGAGTTTCACTACCTACATGTAAATGTTGGAGGCCTCAATACAAATAATTATTATTTGACTTTAGGACAGCTACATACAATGTAAAAACTGTGCTATGCATAGAGAACAAGACCGTTTTCTACTTAAAACGGAGATGTGGTGAAGCGAAACACGAGCAAAATTTGGGGAGAGTTTTAATGACAGAAAAAATCAGCCAGTTATCTTTTCAAGCATGGGAAATATTTTACCATAACTGAATCAGATCGCTACCTCAGTAGCTCTGACGAAGAGCTAAGGCTCGAAACGTCAGCTTTAGAAATTATTTACGATGGCCATGTTACACTGTCAACTCAGATGATAAAACCAAATTATCACAGAATACAAAGCTCGTTCAGTGAGGGTAACTTTCGAGCCAAAATTAGAACTGCGGCCAAGATCATGTAAACCTAACTTTTGAAATCTCTTTATCACCCTGAATTGAAAAAAACTTATTAAAAAGTTAACCCTATTAAAAAATGGCTCCATAATCTGTAGCACCACTTGCTAAAACACAAGTTTAAAAACAACCACTGTGCCTTGGGCTGATGGTTTACCATCTTCCGTCATCACTGGTTTGCGGCAATATTTGTATTTTTTGCCTTTTTCTTTAAAAATTTTGATAAAATATATTAAAAGAGATATTTAAATGTATTTTCTTACGTTTTCGAGCTTCAGACACCATGGTCTCAGCCTTTTTCTCGGCCTGTAACAGTTGTTGAATTCCTTGAGATTGCGACGCCATCTTGAAAATCTTACAGAGATGTCATGTGAGTCTAGAAAATGTTACTAAGTAGGGAGGGTACGGGATTGGTTTCGTTTTCTGAGTTCCAGTCTGTAGTCTTCAACTCTACATTTGATAGTCAAGTTTGATCCTGTTGCTTAATCTCGCTGGAAACAGATTGTTTTGGAAGACTCCGTCCGTTTTTGTATACAAACAAAATTGAATTTATGTTACCGTAAGGGAAATTAGTAGCCCTAACTACTGATAAATCATAGGCCTCATCTACACTTTTGGGAGGAATCTTATGTCGTTCGCACTTATCTAGCATGTGATAGGTTTTTTAATAGACTGGAGACAAATCACAGAAGAAAAGAGGGAATGCAGTTCGGTTGTGAAACTTATTTTTCAGG